AAGGGCTGGTTTGCTCACCCCAGGACTAAGCCTTGGAGAGGGGACGGACCCGTCCTCTCTTTAAGGCTTAGTTCTGAGGTAAGCACCAAATTGTGGCGGTTCTAAGGACCGAGTTGAAGTGGTCCGTCCACCGTCGGGGACTCCATCCCCTCCCCAACATTCAGCATACGGTCCCAGCCGAAGCGCCAAAAGGGCTGGTTTGCTTACGTCGGTGAGGTCGTGTCGAGGATTCTTTTCAGTGCGTAGGATAGAGTAGCTCACAAGTATCACAAAGTGCCAGTATCACAGACGTGCTAGTATCACAGCTCGAAGGTGCGGAGTGCGGCGCTTACATAGTGAGCCAATGACGGCCAATGTGAGCTAATGGACGAAATACCTCAAGCACTCCCACGACCGTAACGTGGATCTCCGTAGCGGCTGCTCCAAATACAAGTCTTGCTTACGTTCGACATGTCATAGGTAACACTGAAGCGAAAAAGTTGGAAATATGTTCCTTGGCGTAGCTGTAGTTTAGAGCATATCCATGTAGAGTTCTACTCCTTTACAGTAATCACTAATGGTAAGGGAGAAGAGTGGGTTCTGCAAGGGGGAGCTATGTATCTTGGTGGAAGTTGTGATGGAAAAAGGAGTGAAGGTGCATGGTGAAAGTTCGAACGGCTTGATGACTAGGGTCACCCGCCCGTTGCGCAAAGAACAACGAGAAGCGTATTTGGCCGAACGAAAGGGGAGGGGTCGTATACAGAGGGACCCGCGGTGAAATGCATCGAGAAAATAGGATTCCATGTAGACTTTCATATAGTAGTGCGACTGCTTACCACAACAGGTGCACGGCGTACCCCGAGCAGGAGTTTTCACTTCAAAACGCTTTATCTGTCAGCGGCCGTAAGCAGACAAACTTCCTCAAAAGAATCTTGATGCTTTCAGAACAAATCTAAGTGGAAGAAAGTTAGAACTTGCTAATTGACTTCTAGGGACCTCCAGAAATTCTGGCAGAAGAAAGCTTTTCAGGGAAAATTTGCGTTGTAAAGCACTCTTCATGTAGACTCCGGTAGTCCTTACCGCTTCTCATTATACTTCGAAGGGGGTACCTTTCGAAGGGGGTTGTAGGCGTTTGAAGCTTGCAAAGTCGCGTTTCAGGAAAATGGTCTGAAAAAATAGGGGGAAAAACGGAACAACGAGACTATTTTTCAAAAGAGCAATTCTTCGGAAAAGTTCTAGCACTGATT